GCAGAGCGTGGCCTGCAAGGCGCGGGTGCGTCGGGAGCAGATCGTGGTGTCGGACGTGTCGGCCACCATCGAGCCGGCGGCCACCGCCATCGAGGAGAGCTCGCCGGTGGTGCTGCGGTACCGCACGCCCTACTTCCGCGCCTCGGCCCGCGTCCTCATGCCGCCCATCGCCCGGCGGCACACCTGGGTGGTGGGCTGGATCCAGGCCTGCAACCACATGGAGTTCTACAACACCTACAGCGACCTCGGCGTGTGAGCACGGCCGCCGCCACCGGGACCGGGCCGGGGGGTTGGGGGGTAGAGGGGGGGGACACGACGCCGCACAGGGTTTCTGACGGCACCAGGGGAGCAGCCGGGCCCCGGTGGAGCCATTCTGCTGTGGCACCGGAGGGTTTGGGGAGGATGGAGCCCAGCGGAGGCGGCACACCTGGGTGGTGGGCTGGATCCAGGCCTGCAACCACATGGAGTTCTACAACACCTACAGCGACCTCGGCGTGTGAGCACGGCCGCCGCCACCGGGACCGGGCCGGGGGGTTGGGGGGTAGAGGGGGGGGACACGACGCCGCACAGGGTTTCTGACGGCACCAGGGGAGCAGCCGGGCCCCGGTGGAGCCATTCTGCTGTGGCACCGGAGGGTTTGGGGAGGATGGAGCCCAGCGGAGGTCGTGGCTTGCTCGGGGGGATGGCGGTGGCCTGTCCCCCGCTGCTCCCCGGGCAGCTCCGGAGCCTGGATGGGCTTGAAGCCAAGAGCTGGGGCAGGGCCGGAGGGTCCCCGCAGCTCCCCGAGGTGTCCCCGCAGCTCCCCGAGGTTTCCCCACTGCCATGGGGTGACCCTCTCCCTTGCTGTAGCCGCATGGGGTTGCTAACGTGGTCGGCAGGCAGGATTTGGGCTGGGATTTCCACCCCCCCGCCGTGTTGCAGGGATCCCATCGCACCGGGGCAAGTGTAATGGTGATATTTCAGTGTTGTGGGTGCCTCTGGGCAGGCGCCTGTGTTTAGGGGCAGAAAAATTGCAGGCTTTTATGGCAGGAGGGGGGCTGCTGACGGGCACAGCCAGCACCTCCGTCGATGGGGAAGGCTGTTCTCCTCCGGCACAAGAGCTGATTAAGGAGACAGTGACCCCAGAGAGACTCAGCAATGAGTTTTGGCCCAGTTGGTGTGATCGCAGGTGAATTAAAATAGTGTTGTGTTGGTAGAGCAAAGGCTTCAGCTAACCGTGAGCGACTCGGTGAAGGAACCGAAGCTGAATGTGTTCTTGAAGGAGGTCCTTGAGAGCTTGGCTGCAGGTGGGGAGGGGTCCCCAAGCTGCTTGCCTGCCTGCCCCTTGCTGGGCACTATCGCTGTTGTTTCCCTGCTAACCTGGCCTTTCTCTTCCCTTTCACTAGGTCAAGCTGGGAGCTGCCCGACCTGCGAGAAGGAAGAGTAAAAGCCATCAGCGATTCAGATGGCGTGAGCTATCCCTGGTATGGAAACACCACAGAAACTGTGACCCTGGTCGGGCCCACTAACAAGATCTCCAGGTTCTCGGTGAGCATGAATGACAATTTCTACCCCAGTGTGACGTGGGCTGTCCCTGTCAGCAACAGTAATGTGCCACTGCTGACCAGGATTAAAAGGGACCAGAGCTTTACCACGTGGCTGGTGGCCATGAACACCACCACCAAGGAAAAGATCATCTTGCAGACTATAAAGTGGAGGATGCGAGTGGACATTGAGGTTGATCCCATGCAACTGCTGGGGCAGCGGGCACGGCTGGTGGGAAGGACTCAGCAGGAGCAGCCCCGGATCCTCAGCAGGATGGAGCCCATCCCACCAAACGCACTAGTGAAACCCAATGCCAACGATGCCCAAGTCCTCATGTGGAGACCCAAGCGAGGCCAGCCTATAGTCGTGATACCTCCCAAGTAGAGCAGCGCCCGGGCACACACGTGAGGACCTGGGTGCTGCCAGCCTGCTGCAAACGAATGGGGTTTCTGAGCCAAAGCAGACCTCTTGGGTTCTCCTGCCTTTGTAGCTGTGGTGGTTGGAAATACGGTTCTTCCTTAGTCAGAAAGAGAGCCTGGCCGGCACAGGGGTGGGAAGAGGGATCGCTGAGCTGGAGGATTTCCCAGGAAGAGGAATTGAGTACTTCTAGAGTCTTGTGGCTGGCAAAGAGGCTGTCTGACCTAAATGACTGGTCTTTCCTTGCAAGGCCATGCAAGGAGCATGAGTATGATCGAACTGTGCCTGTGGCAAAATGCTGCTTTCCACCCAACCGGAGGCAGAAATGGAGACCGTGCCTGGTGGACGCGGAGGGTCCTGCGGTGACCCTTCCCGCCAGAGCACGGGTGTCCCCGCGGTGTCTATACCTATGCATTTTGGATTGATAATCGACCCCTTGTCCTGCTCACTGGGACTGGGCAGGAGGGCCCAGGAGCAAAGCAGGAGCTGGCAGAGCCAGGGCGCTGATCCGGAGCCCGGCATGAGCTGTTGCTGCTCCCCAGGAGGGGTTTTCCGCAGCCGAGGGGAAGTGGGGTGTTTTGCATGTGTTTGGGTGTGTTTGGAGTAGTTGTGAGTGTAGGAGATGACATAGCTCTTTTCCGTCTTGGAGTGAGATCTAAGGGCAGGTTAGATGTCCTTTGCTTTTAAGGTGCACTAAATCTTTGCAGTTCCTCAACCTTC